ACACATAACTACAGTATATTATAATTTTTAATTGATATGAATGAAATTACATTATGCTATATATATAATAAAAATATAGTGTAATTTTATAAAATTTGGAACAGTATCTTCTTAGATTTTTTAAAATTTTTGTTTAAAAAATTATTTGAAGTTACTCTAACCTTTATAAAGAGATTAATAGTTTTTTGTTGATATTTGTTATATTTAAGTATATAATGCAATAATAGTGTTATATTCTTTACTTAAATTGTTTTTTTATCAGTTTTATAAAAAAATAAAGTTTGTGAAATATATTTATCTTAAATTAATCATCTATCATAAAAGTATGTCATCAACTTGACATTATATAAATGTGTACTAATTTTATTTTAAATAGTGAACTTATTTATAATATATATTTAAAAAATTAAAATATTGATCATTTTTTATTTATTATTTATATATAAATATTAAAATAATCTCTCAATGTGTCTCAATAGAATTTTAAATTTTATGCACATAAAATATGAAAAATTAATAGTTTGAATGTCATATTTGTTATTATATTTGTTTCAGGTCAAGAAATTAATTCTAAAAATGGACCGTTTATTGGAGGATCCACGTGCTTCATCAAAATTTGGTTGATAATTTCTAGTGCATCATGGGAACTTAAAAGAGACATTGTTAAGTTCCCAATATATGCCTTAGTGGTAGTGTTCTTTAATAAGCGTTAGATACAATTCTGTTCATCAGTGAAATATATCCTATATTCGGAATGCCTTGAAAATACGAGTGTAGAGATTTTAACAATGATTTCTTTAAGCATTCGTGGTAACAGTGCATTTAGATATGTTCTGTTGATTTATATTTATCATATACTGTGAATAAGACTTTTTATAATATGTCAGTGCAGTGTTTGTTACGTTGGATAATTCTATGAACCTCAGAGTACATGTAAGGACACTGGACCTAATTTTAATAATATTTTTTGTCCAGGCTGTAATGCCAGAACAAGTCAAATTCAAGATGAACGGGGTTATACCGAGTGTGCCAATCACAACTCTCGCTGGTATTGCGAGTCTTACTGACTTGTTACCTGAAATGCCCCTGCCAACACCGTTGCCTCAGACTTTAACTAACAAGTCCCTTTTATTTCATCCAAGAGTGGCAGAGGAAGCACAAATATTACTAAGTGTTCGAAATGAAAACTTAGTGCCCCAATTAATACTATCTTTATCTCAAACCTCATCTGATCATATTGAACTAAAAGATAATTATGCAAATACAGAACAGCCTATGGAAACCGAGCAAAATACTCCTGAATTACTTAAGGCAATTTTGCAAATAAATCCACATGTGTTTAAGGGGCCTCAATATAATTCACCAAGAAATTGGACCCAAGGCACACCTATGATGCACACCAATCAATCATCCGCTAATTATGGACGATTTTCACCATCTTATTCAAGTTCTTCAGGGTCAAGACAAACGCCTCAAGGTAGTCCAGCTCATCCTGCTGCTGCTAGAACAGTACTACCACCGCCTACTGGTATAAATCCTCTACCTAATATGACCCCACAACCAAATATGTATTCTCCGGCACATATGAGTTCTCCTGGTACGCCGCTAACAACTCTCGGTAACGTAACACCTCAACACCATAATATGGCTGGTATGACACCTCAACATAATATGCATATGGCATCTCCTATGCGTGCTAATATACCTTTACAACAACATCAACCTGTTAATATTCAGCAAAATATGTATGATCCTATGATGAATCAACAAGTGCATCATCCATTAGGAAATCATCAACCGATGGAGATGGAAAGTACAGTGCAAGAAAATCAACAATTTTTACTTGATCCAGTAACAGGTCTTCCTGACATCGATATACCGATTGAAAATATCGAAGCGAAACAAAATATAGATAATGCGACGCAACATCTTTTATCTGCAACGCAAACCACATCTTATCCAAGTATGGATACCAGTCCTATGATCAATCCGTTGAATACTACGCCAACAACGATGATACAACACCAACAAAACAATAATTCAGAAAAAGGGATGAAAATGCCTGCCCCTTTGCCAGAGAAATTAAAAGAACCGATTGTCATGTTAGATAGATTATCTTTAGCGGATCAAGCTTTAATGCAGAAGAGTATAGCCGCATTTGCTGAAAAGTCTCCAAGTCGAGCTGCAAAAATGGGGATTTCTAATCGCGAGGATGTAAAGTCCGAGTCGGAAAGCGAGGAAGAAATAGGTAAAAATAACAAATATTTCAAAGCGCGTGCAAAAGAACGTCAAGTCCAAAGAGAAAAGGAAAAAGCTGAGAGGAAAAAAAGTGAAGACAAAAGTCGCAGACGAAGAAGGGTATTGGATGATGATGAGGAAGACGATAAAAAGGAAGCTCTCACACCGTCGAAACCAAAAATCAGAAAAATTGAAAAGAAACTCGTTCCTGTTTTAGCTAAACTCAGTGTGGAAGAATTAATGGAAACCAATACGTATCAACGTTTTAACACAACTATAGAAACGATATTCGAAAATACAGAAGATGTAGCAACCAATGCTGAATTAGAAGATGATGGTGATGTGCCTCCAGAATTGTTAATTCCTAAATATCAATTACATGATTTATGTACAGAAGCAGCCAAGCTGAAGGCATTAGGAGCAATGGAATCGATTCCAGCAGATAGATTGGTTAGATTATTAAACATTTTAGAGAAGAATATTCGGGACGGAGCTAAAGTATCTCCGCTGGCGGATCCGGATGATGACGTCGATGAGAGTCGATTATGGACGCAATTAGCTATGGAAAGAGTACAGCGTGCAGTGGATGCCTCTTTAATTGCATTACACATTATGACGTCCAGTAACATGCCAAAAATGGTCTACTTGGAAGACGTGATCGACAGAATAGTCCTTTTCATGAAGTTTCAGTTACAAAATACTATTTATCCTTCGTTTGATCCAGTATACAAAATAGATACAAAAAACAAGACTGACAATTATAATTCTAGTGGTCGTAAGAAAAGGGGTCATATGAAAGAAGTACGAGAGAAAAGTATCCTTCAGGTTTATAATAAAATGCACGAATTAGTTGGTCTTCTTGCTGAATTATTGAATATTCAAGTTCTAACAGACACTAGTGTTTTACATGCCTCTACGTTAGGTGTCGCACCATTTTTTGTTGAATCTGTTAGCGATCTTCAATTGAGCGCTTTAAAACTGGTCACAGTAATATTCACTAAATACGAGAAGCATAGGAGATTATTGTTAGATGATATTTTGGCATCTATAGCTCGACTTCCTAGTAGCAAAAGGAGCCTTAGGACATACAGGTTAAATTCTGAAGATCACATACAAATGTTAACAGCCTTGGTTTTGCAGCTAATCCAATGTGTTGTTGTATTATCGGACAATATAATTCCTCAACAGAAGAAATCACAAGACGAAGAGGAGAAGAAAGAAGAGAAAAAGACCAGTTATGTTGATGCCGATGTCTTAATCATAAATAAATACGAGACTGCTACGAGAATAGCGGGAAATTTTTTAACAGTGTTCTTGAACAAGTGCGGCAGCAAAGGTGAAGAAATTGATTACAGGCCACTGTTCGAGAATTTCGTGCAAGATTTATTGGCCACGGTTAATAAACCAGAATGGCCAGCGGCTGAGTTGCTTCTCAGTTTACTTGGAAATTTGTTAGTAGGTCATTTTTCTAACAAAAGTTCTGATATGGCACTCAGAGTGGCCTCTATCGACTACCTAGGTGTTGTAGCAGCCAGATTAAGAAAAGATGCAGTTAGTTCTCAATGCAAACTGTCTACCATCGATCAGATTATTAAGGACATCAAAATCGAGCAGCAAAAAGATTCTGATTACGATCAGGTAAAGGATAAAGAAATAATAGGTTTGAACGAAGACGAGGAGCGGACGGTTTTTTTACAAAAGGTGCTCCTCGATTATTTAGCCGTGAATGGAACCAAGGACTCCGCTTTAGGCTATGCTCGCCATTTTTATTTGGCACAATGGTACAGAGATTGTGCCGTAGAAAAATCTAGGGTCGGTCAAACGAAGAATAGCCCAAGTAAGAAGATGCACAAGAAAAAGATAAAAAAGAAAAACAAACATCACGCTAGCGATCAGGATTCGGAATCAGAGCTGGATGAACAGGATGCAGACGAAAACGACAATAACGAGCAGAAGAATTCAGAAGCATACAGAATCATAGAGGAGAAAAAGAAGTATATTATAAGTAGAATAAGACCGTACAGCACTGGCACGAAGCCGGATATACTTCAGACTTATATTGATTATAATTCGGCGGAACTAATATCGCAATATCTCGCCTCAAAAAGGCCGTTTTCGCAGAGTTTCGATCGGTACCTGAAACAGATCCTGCACGTGCTTACAGAATCGTCTATCGCGATCAGGACGAAGGCTATGAAATGCCTAACGATGATCGTTGAAGCGGATCCGAGTGTGTTGGCGCGGGTAGATATGCAATTGGGTGTGAAACATTCGTTTTTAGATCATGCGACGTCGGTCCGCGAGGCGGCTGTTGATCTAGTAGGAAAATTTGTACTAAGTAGGCCCGAATTAATAGATAAATACTATGATATGCTGTCGGCTAGAATTCTAGATACCGGCGTTAGCGTACGTAAGCGCGTGATAAAAATTCTAAAGGATATCTGTATGGAGTGTCCTGACTTTCCTAAAATTCCTGAAATCTGCGTAAAGATGATCAGGCGGGTGAACGATGAGGAAGGTATTAGAAAATTGGTAATGGAAGTGTTTCAGAATATGTGGTTTACACCTGTCAGGGAACGCCCCACATTGGATTCCGAATCGTTATTGAGGAAAGTGATGAACATCACGGACGTTGTGGCAGCTAGTAAAGATATGGGTTTGGAATGGTTCGAACAGCTGCTGGTTAGCTTGTTCAAGCCCAAAGAGGACAAAGACGATAGTACAAAGATGCAAACCGAGCCCCCAAAGGCATTATTGACGGCGTGCAAACAGATTGTTGATTGCTTGATCGAGAACGTTCTTCGATTGGAAGAGACGAATCTGGAAGAATCTGAGAAGACGGAGAAAAAGGGATCCTCTCAAAGATTAGTCGCTTGCTTGACAACTTTATATCTATTTGCGAAAATACGGCCACAATTGCTAGTCAATCACGCGATTACGTTACAGCCTTATCTAAGCTTGAAATGTCAAACTCAGGGTGATTATCAGATCATCAGTAGTGTAGCACACACTTTGGAATTAGTCGTACCATTGATGGAACATCCTAGTGAGACTTTTTTAGCACAGCTGGAAGAAGATTCGGTAAAATTGATCCTGCAACACGATAGATCGGTGGTGGCTAGCTGTTTATCCTGTTTAGGCTCTATAGTGAACAACGTGACCAGGAATTTTAAATTAATACGAGACTGTTTTAAAAAATATTATGGACATCTGACTGAGTACAAATCCTTTTACGAGAAAGATCCTACGAATCCTATGCTTTTAAAATATCGACCATTTGTCAGGAGAGCGTTGTTCACTGTTGGCTTATTGCTGCGACACTTCAATTTTACCGACCCAGAAGTAATCGAGGGACTAGCAGAGAATATAAAGGATCAAGTATTTGAAACGTTGAACTATTTCGTACATCTGGACAACGACGATATTCGACATTTTACTTTATCTGCTATTGGATCTTTATGTATTCGTCATTATGAATTCATGTTACTTCCTGAGTTAAAAGAATTGTATCATCATTTGCTTACGTCAGAGAATGCCTTGGTTCATATGAGGATTCAAGTATTGAACAATATCGAGGTATACTTGTTGGAAGAGGACAAGAGAATGATCAAACAGGATATGGAATGGGCGAAAATGTCCAAACAAGAAAACTTAAAAGAAATGGGAGATGTTTCATCAGGAATGGCTAGTACTGTGATTCAATTATATGTGAAAGAAATTTTAGAATCTTTTTTGCATGCAAACATCAGTGTACGTCACGCAGCATTGAAAGTGATCCAATTGATTCTAGCTCAAGGTTTGGTCCATCCGGTTCAAATAGTTCCCTATCTGATCTGCATGAGCACAGACTGCGAAAAAGTAGTCAGTCATAGCGCGGATAAGCAACTTCAAGACATCGAGAAGAAGTATCCTGGCTTTATTCATATGAAATCCCAATTAGGTATCAAGCTTAGCTATCGGTTGCAGAAAATTTTACAAACTGATATCACAGTGAGAGGAATGAGGGTCAAAGATGGCGAATTTCCTGGTGCGTTAAATGGTTTCCTTTATACTATCTTGAGGAACACGAAACAACAAAGAAGAGCCATAGTATTGTCTTTCTTAAAACAATTTGACGAGTCTGCGAAAACTAGTTTATCACAGATGCTCTACTTGGCTGACAATCTCGCTTACTTTACATATCAAGTGCAAGACGAGCCATTGTTTATCATTCATCATATTGATATTATTATTTCCATGTCCGGTACGAATCTTGTGCAGTCATTTAAGGAGGCATTACTACCAAAAGAAGGGAATAGTCAACCACAGCAGCATCATCATCATTATCAACAGCAGCAGCAGCAACAACAACAACAACTACATCAACAACAACATCAACAACAACAACAGCAACAATACCATCAGCAACATCATCAACAAATTCATACTCCTATGGGACCGGATGGACAGCCACGACCAGAGCAATTATTGTCAGTATTGGAAGATGAAGAGGATGATGAAGAAGATGAGGAATCGTTACTGGCAAGGTTACCAGGAGATACTACGTTGCTTAGGGATTATATCACCGCCAGCCAAGGTTTTTTGTTGCTGCTCACTTTAAGACAGCACTTGAAAGATCTGTACGGTTTCTCTGACCAAAAAATTGGCCAGTACTCGCCGACAGAGGCAGCGAAGGTGTACGAGAAAGCTGTGAACCGTAAGAGTAACTTGCTGTTCAAACCAAAGGCTACCCTGCAGAGATTAAGGGAAGGCGTAAGTAATGTCGAACTTGATGCTGAGGGCAGGAAAAAATTAGTGAAGGAGTATTTGGACTTCAAACAATTGATGTTAAAGTTTGATCTGGAAGAGCCTGAGGAAGATGGAAACGAGGGTGACACGAGTGGCGGAGGTAGCAAACAATCGATAGATGTTTCTAACAAAATGTCTGAACCGGACAATAAAATGGAAATCACTGTGACGAGCAATCCCCAGATGGTAAATCAATATCAAGCCAATATGAACTCGTCTATTGAGCATCCGAACAATTCGATAAACTCGATGCCCACTGGTGGTTCCATTCCGGTCACCATGCCTGTCCACAGATCACCGCCAGTTGCTATGAACGCGGCGCCAGCATCGCAAATTGCATCACCACGTGTGCCCAAGCTGACGATACACGCGCATCATCCAGAGGGAGTGAAGGAACATCGTAAACACCGGGCGCATAAAACGGAAAAAGTGAAAAAACATAAGAAGAAGAAGAGGAGAAGAATTTCCGATAGTAGCGAGAGCGGCGAGGACTACAGTGATCCTGACTTTTTAGTGTGAGTGCAGTGGTGTATCTCTGCGTCCGTTGTGTACATATTACATACTAATTACAAGAATTATAATAATAATATGATAATTGACGCGTGTTTCGCGTGGTTGATGTGCGTGCTGGTATGCGTGCGACGTTTTCTTGGTGCGTTTTGTGTCGCTCGTAAGTGAGAAGGCGTTCCGTTTTCTCTTCTGTTTTTCTTTTTTTGCGCAACGAAATTGGAACAGAAGGAAGAGAAAGAAATATGACACTATAATAGAATATATGACACTGATGTTATAGAGAATACCAGTGCCGGACGCTCTGAAATCGCGACGGACTTCATCGATCATGGAAATGGACTAAAATTTTTAGCGAAACTAAACAAAAAAAAAAAAAAAGGAAAAGTTATATGAATAAAAGCGATACTGATGTACAGAGGATGGTGGTGCTCTGTGGGAATGCGTGCGATTTTGTTTGCGATAATTTGATTGGGAGGGAATGAGAGAGAGAGAGAAAGAGAGAGAGAGAGAGTGTGTGTGTGTGTGTAAGAGAAAGAAAGAATTTAGACGAATGAGAGATTTTAAATATCGATCGTCTTCAGACGATCCCTTAATGTTATCTTGTTAACTAGGACACGTGGTGGATGCACGTCTAAAATTTCTCAGTCCATGTTATACTATTCGAGATATGTCGATCTTCGAGACTAGAATAAGGAACTTGGTTCAGACAAGAGCTGCACGATCGTCGCTTCTATCGTTCCATTTCTTTTTTTCTTCTTCGTATATCAATGGTAAAATTTCTTGTGGAAAATTTTTTTGATTCTATTTTTTGTCTTTTTCTCATCCCTTTTTTTTCCCCGATTCTCAAAAAATCTGGATCAATGAGAATGAATTTTTTTCTTTTGTTCTCGAAAAATACTTATTTGACAATATAGAAAAATTAATACAATATATATATATTTGTAATATTTATACATATCTATATTTTAAAAAAATATATATATATAAATTAGATATTATAAATATAAATATATATAATATATATATTATATATAATAATATATAATATGTAATTATTTAAGTATATAATTTTTTTTGAAAAATAAAGTTCGATAGAATTGAACTAGATCGATGAAGAATAAATCGAACCAAGTTTCAAATTAGAAAAGAACCAGTTTCAGACAGAGATCCCGAGTTGTAAAGTTTTCTTGGAATACATCACGTTTTATTCAAACATGAATGAATTGTCAATGTAAATAATATTGAATAATAATAGTAAGATTGATACAAAATTTTAGTTTTCTTTTTACGGAAGCAAAAAGAAAAAGATCAATTCGAATGTTATTGAGAAAAGAATGAGTTTAAAAGACAAAAATTGGTATTATATATTTTTATTTTGAAAAAAAAAAATAAGATAAAAAGTCATTGTCAAAAACTCGGGAAAACAACGAGAAAAAGAGCCAATAATAAAAGAAAAATTCTGAGAGAGAAAGGAAGGGAGAGAGAGAGAGAATGGAAACGCATAGAAGAGTGGATCCGTTTAGACTTGCTCCACAGTAATGTATAATAAACAAGTGTAGTTAAAAGAGATTAAAACAAGAAAAAAGAAACAAAATGAAAGAAAACAGAAACACATTGCCTATGCATTATGAGAGAGAGGAGAGAGGAGAGAGAGAAGAAAACAAAAAAAAACGTTGTTTGTAATATCTGTACATACATAAATTTCAAGTAAAGTATCTTATTTTCTTACAAACTATATAGCGATGACATTACGAAAGAATACTTAAAATTTTGTTGTAATATTAAGTATTTATTCAGAATTCATGTTGTCCCAATATAGTTTGCTTTATGCACACAACTCGTCTTTTGGTGTAATTAAAAAAAAAAAAAAAAAAGAACTATCGTTTTTATACAAGCTTAGGAATAAATGAAATAAAAACAAAATAAAAAAGTGCAGAACGAAAAGAAAGAGGAAAAATACGAGGAAGAAGGATAATTGAATGAATACAGAAAGAAAAGAAATGCGATCTATTAATTTTCGATTTGGAGAATGAACGAAATTATTATGGGTGAGGATAGGATAGGATAAGATCAAGGAAGAAAGGCAGACGAGAAGGAAAAACCCGTGAAAAAAACCCATGGTTGAGAGAAAGTAACGCGAGATCTTCGACGGATCATGCAGTTCTTTAATTACTCGTTTCCTTTGTGATGGCGCTCTATGCCATTTTGACTGTCTAGGACCGAGCATCATAACATTAGTGTGAAATTATACGTATAAACATGTTCGTCGTATCCCCGGTTCAAAAATCGATCGTACAACTGTGATCTTTAATATTGAAGTGGGGATGCGTGCATCGCTCTTTTCGTCGCGATATAATTCGTCTTTTTTATACGTTTATAGAAAATCCATCGGTCATCATCGATAAACATTCTATCGAAACAAGCAATTTGAGGTTACTCGTTGTCCTGGATAGTCGAATATAACATTTATCATACACATACATACACATATATATATATATATATATATATATATATATGTTCCAAGTTTATAACTTGGTAAAAATGGAAATGAGGCATTTAGCGGTATAGACCATATTACATATGATGTTTCAGTGAAAGCGAAACCATGCGATATCATCGTCCATATTCTTTAGAACGCTAGCTTGATACGTTTGTCCCGTCGAGGTTAGTTAAAACACGGAGGAAACGAGTCAATTGATCGAAGAATGACTGCGTGAACCGAAAGCCTTGGCTGGTGATCGAAAGACTGCGACGAACATGGATGGAAAGAGAAAGATATAAGGTTTTTACTTTAAACGTGAATCATCTTTTTCGTCCTACGAGAACGTTACCATTTTACGATCATCGTCAATCATTATTGCATTTACAGTTGGTCGTTTATTTCTTATGGGAAGAAAATAAAAATGATTACAAAAGGAAAAAAAAATCGCTGGCTGTTCAACGGATCTATTGAGGTTAGACCGTGAAACGTCGACGTACGAACGCAAACAAAATGATCTAGGTGATAAACGCTTCTTTCGTTTTAATCTCGATTTAAAGTAGCACTCTATTGGGGTCCAGATGTACATTCATCTATATCTCATCAATAAATCTGGCAGCAAAAGAAGTATGGAATTCATTCGATTAGTTATTAAGAGTCTCATCTATATTCGCAAGGAATGTACGTGGATTCTAGTTTCGATGATAAATTATATTTTCTTTCCTTCTTTTAATATTTAATACAATTTATATTTAGTTTACAAAAATATAAACATGATTTCATTTGATTATCAATTTAATCATATAGAAAGAAAAAGATTGATTTAATCCGTGTACATTTCTTGCTTTTAGATTAATGAAACGTTCTCGAAAATTGTCGCGAATCCTTAGAAACCTCTCAAAAAATCGATTCGATT